CCCGTGCCCACGCCCGCGCTTCCGCCAAACGCCCCCTACCCCCACCATGGACACGGCTCCCTACGTGCGAAAAGCCCCCTGCCCCCTGCTCGTCCTCACCGGCCGCGCTCCTTCCTTTCTTTTCTTTTTTTTTCATGCCGCCCCTCTCCGTGCCGTCGCCTGGCGCTCACATTGCGCGCCCGCACCGATCCCCCCTCCCGCCAGAACGGCTTCCTCAACACCCCCCTCCAGCAGGATGACCCCGAGGTCTTTGCCATCATCAAGGACGAGGAGCGTCGCCAGTTTTCCGGTCTCGAGCTCATCGCCTCCGAGGTACGGTCTCGGACCTTGGCACACTTCCCTCCCCCCCCCCCCCCCCGTGATCCGATCCTCTGCCAGATACTGCGTGCCCCCGTGCTCACCCCGACCCATCGCCGCGTGCCGCACAGAACTTCACCTCGCAGGCCGTGATCGAGGCCCTGGGCAGCTGCCTCACCAACAAGTACTCCGAGGGTACATCCCCCTTGCCCAGACCCAGGCCCGCCCCCTGTTGGGTCTCACACTGACCTCTCCTGCCGTCCTGGCGGACACATGCACACTGCACAGGCCTCCCCGGCGCCCGGTACTATGGCGGCACGGAGAATGTCGACAAGCTTGAGCGTCTGGCCCAGGCCCGCGCCCTGCGCGCCTTCAACCTCTCCCCCGAGCAGTGGGCCTGCAATGTGCAGCCCTACTCCGGCTCTTCGGCCAACATGGCCGTCTACTATGGCATCCTGGCCCCCGGGGACCGCCTCATGGGCCTGGACCTGCCGAGCGGCGGGCAGTGCGTTGCTGGGCCTCCTGTTCATGCGTCGCTGGCGCCCGGCGAACTAACCTCCCACCTCTGCTGCGGCCCTCCCCGATGCCGGACCCCAGCCTCACCCACGGCTTCCAGACGCCCACGCGCAAGGTCAGCGCCACCTCGGCCTTCTTCTCGTCGGTCCCCTACCGGGTGGACCCGGCCACCGGGCTGATTGACTACGATCACCTGGAGACCGTGGCCCTGTCCTTCCGGCCGAAGCTGCTCATCTGCGGCGCGTCGGCCTACCCGCGGGACTTCGACTACCCGCGGCTGCGCGCCATCGCCGACTCCGTCGGGGCCCTGCTCCTGTGCGACATGGCGCACATCAGCGGCCTGGTGTCGGCGCGCATCCTGGCCGACCCCTTCCAGTGGTGCGATGTGGTCACCACCACCACGCACAAGACCCTCCGCGGGCCGCGCGCCGGCATCATCTTCTTCCGTCGGGATCGCCACAACCTGGAGCAGCGCATCAACCAGGTGCGTGTATCCCCCCCCCCCCCCCCCCGCCGTCGGCCCACCTGCCCGCCCGTCTGCCCTTCATGCCGCCCCTCTGCATCTGGCGCACACGCGCCCTCTCTTTTCTCCCTGGTCGCCGCTTTGCCAGCGCCCAGTCCTCGGCTCTCCCTCCGCCCTTCCCCCCCCCCCCCTCCTCCCCCGAGAGCAGGCGGTCTTCCCTGGCCTGCAGGGCGGCCCGCATAACCACACCATCGCCGCCACGGCCGTGGCCCTCGGCCACCTGGCCCGCCCGGAGTTCGCGCAGTATGCCCAGGCTGTGGTCACCAATGCCCAGGCGCTGGCCCGGTGCCTGGCCGATGCCGGACACACCATCGTCACCGGCGGCACGGACAACCACATCGTTCTGTGGGACCTGCGCCCGGTCGGCCTGACTGGCAGCAAGTATGAGCGCCTGTGCGACGAGATCCAGTACGTGTGCACATGCCTCCTCCCCCTCCGGACCCGATGCGCCAGCCGCGAGTCCTGGCCGGAGGCTTTCCTCGCCCCCTCCTCCTCTTCCTGCTTCGCCTCTCTGACTGGTCCACCCCCCCCCCCCCTCCCTGGCTCTTCCTGCTCCATCTACCTCCGCGGACCTCTCCGGCCGTAGCATCTCCGTCAACAAGAATGCCATCCATGGCGACAAGTCGGCCCTGTCCCCGGGCGGCGTGCGCCTCGGCACGCCAGCCCTCACGTCGCGCTCCTTCGGCCCGGAGCACATGGTCCAGGTCGCCGGCCTGCTGGATCGGGCCTTGGCTCTGGCGCTGGCCATCCAGACGGCCGTGGCCCCGGCCACCCGGCTGGCCGACTTTGGCGCCTACATCGACGCCCTGAAGGCCGAGCCGGCCGCCGCGGAGAATGGGACCGAGGCCGATGCCGAGGCCGCCTCCCGGCAGGCTGCCCTGCGTGCGGATTTTTTGGCTCTGCGCGCGGCCGTTCACGACCTGAGCGTGCAGTTCCCGATGCCCGGCTTCGCCACCGAGGACCTGTGATGCGGTCTCGGCTGCCGTCTCGCTGTGCGGGGAAAACATGCCCCTCCCGGCATTTCAATGGACAGAGCGTGCTCTTCTGCCTTCTCCCTTTTCCTCCCACGCACACGCACGCACACACACACACACATGTCTTTTGCTCCCCCTGGCGCACAAACATACCATGTGGGCGCTGACGTTGCAAAGAGGGGGGGGGGGGGAGCTCGGGACCGGGGGGAGAAGAGATGTAAATTGAAAGGGACAATGTTGTATAGAGAGGGAGGGGGGGGGGAGGGGGGCGGGTATATAGCCACCGGGGTTCGCCAGCGAACGTTGTGTGCGCCTTCATCAGACGGTCTGGGTGGTGCGGGTGGTGGTCTTGGCCGAGGAGGTCTGTCGAGGGGAGGACTGGCCGTTTCCGGCGCAGGCGGTGATCGGGCGTGGCCGGGGGACCGGGCAGAACTGGAAGATGATGTACACCACGCCGATGATGATGACAATGAGGCCGACCACAAAGTCAAAGGTGGCCTCCGGGGGCCCGATGATCAGGAAGCCGAGGCTGGAGGAAGGGGCAGGGGGGGGAGGTCAGTGACAATGTGGAATGTCGGTGGACGGGTGGGCGGGCGGGCGGGCAGGCGGGCAGGCAGGCAGGCAGGCAGGCAGGCAGATGGGTGTGCCCCGGCGCACAAGATGTAGGAGAAGCCCTTGCCGAGGAAGGACATGAGGAAGCCGCAGTACTGGCTGACGAGAGTGGGGATCCACATCTCGGTGAGAATAATCACCACGCCAAAGAAGCTGGCCAGGGGAGATATGTCGTGAGTGGCAGGTGGCAACCGGTGTGGGGGAGAGCGCGGAGCGGTGTGGGGTGGAGCAGGATAGAGCAGTGCAGGACAGCATAGGGCAGTGCAAGACAGCGCAGGACAGCGCAGGACAGCGCAGGACAGCGCAACGTAAAGCAGGGCAGAAAAGGGAGAGCGCACCAGAGGTACATGCCAATGACAAAGAGCGTGAAGCCCACCGAAATGTGCTGGGTCAGGGCACTGATGCAGTGGAGGACACCGGCGGCGGCGATGAGGCCACCCACCACCAGGTTGACCAGGTTGAAGAAGATGGTGAGAGCGGACATGGCGTGTGTATGTTTGTGTGTGTGTGTGTGTGTGCGCGCGCGTGCGTGTGTGCGTGTGCCCAGTGGGGGGCGATGCAAGGGGCGAAAGGAGGGGGGAGGGGAGCGTCTGTGTGGGGGGGCGCCTGGCCGGGACGGATGCGCACCCTGGTGGCTCTCGACTCGAGAGCGGACACTGGCAACGGCGGTGGCGGTGGTAGTAGCGTCAGGGGGGGCTCCCGCACGTTGCTGCCCCCCCCCCGCAGCTGGAGGCCGCACGCGGGGTGGCTGGAATGCCCCCGGCGGGAGGGATCCCCCAATCCGCGGGCGCCAGCCCACCAACTGCAATGCCTCTGGGGGGATGGGGGAGGGCGTCCAACCGGAAGACGTATATTGAGCTGGGATATGAAATGCTCATTCCACTCCTCCCGCAGGCTTCTTCACCCCCGCCCTCGACCAGCCATCAGGACTGGAGGAATTTTGCGGCGAACAGGCCGACCCCGCCCCCCCCCCCCCCCCTCGCCTCAGACCATTTTGAAAATGCACAACATGCACTCACCCCGACCGCTCTAGCGGATGTTTCCGGGCCAAAAAAAAAACCATCAGCCACAGGGCCCGGAGGCAGGGGAGGGGGGAGCGGAGGACACCGGGCCGGCGGGCTATTCAGGGGCCCCCCCTGGGGGTCGGCCGCGGAGCAGGGCCTGCCCCAGCAAGGGGGGACGGCAGTCCAAAACAGCTGCTTGTTGTTCTTCATCGGGGGGGGGGGCTTCTGGTCTTCGTCGGTCGAAAGCAGAAGCCCTCCATCGCCACCGCCGCCGCCGCCGCCGCCGCCGGAGCACCTGGACAGTGCTGACGGGCAGCGGACGCACAGCCACTTTAGCATACCAGTCTTGATGAGCAGTCCCGAGCACAGAGCAGGCGGAGACCGGTTGTTGGCTCTAGCCATGCGCATTGCGGAGACACCGGGCGGGGCCTCCGCCGTGCTCTCCGGCTTGCGGCCAGCCGGCTGGAGGATGCCGCGGGGCCGGCAGATCATGCCCATCCCGTGACTGGGGAGATCTGCCCGGGAGCTTCATCGGTGTGCGTGAGCACAGTGCATGTGGCCTTGGCGCCGGTGTGCCGAATCTGGTGTCGTTCGACGAAGTCAGAATGATTCTCCCGGGTGGCCCGGGCAGTGCCGAGACCCGGAGAGAGAGGGATCTTCTACTCAGGCCCCGGGGGAGGGGGGGCGTCCTCCGCTCCCGGAGGCGCCTCCGGCCGGCTGGGGCATCGCCGAGTGGCGCGGCCGCGGCAAAGTGTGTTCCCAGACAGACGCCAGTCATTACCCCCTCTCCCTCCAGCGCATGTTCGCCTGCGCCGCGGAATAATATTATCCGCTGGCTCTGACGTGCACTGGCCCCCCTCTTCGTCCCTCTCGTTTCTCGGGGGCGAGGCCGTCCATCGGGTTGCACCCCTTCGCAGGGGGGGGGGGGAGCGGCGCACAGATGACTGAAACGGGGCGGCCTGCTTGGCCGCCACTCACTCAGGCACGCCTTCTCGCGAGGTGTCCGGCACCCGGGCCGGCGACCGCTGGCCGCAGGAGCCCCCCCCCAACCATGCAAGACGAGCGCACGGTCTGGCGTTCTCCTTCGGGAGAGTCTGCGTTCGCAAGCCCCAGCAAACGAGTGAGACCTCACACCCTGTGCCGGATCACGCCCCGCCCGGGGAACATCACGCAGCATCGCGGGGGCGCGACCAATCGGGAAGGCATCTGCCGGCCGGAACGCCAGGCAGGCAGCAGGAGCCGGGGAGGGGCGTGCCCGAGGAACGGCAGGACGGGCTGGGTGCACGCGCCCGCGCCTTCTCGCGCACCCACATCCCCCGTGTGCGCGCAGGTTTGCCGGGAGTTACACCCGCCTCGCGGCGCAGAACACGTCCATCGTGGGAATACCGGCAGCGAGAGAAGCGCACGTCGGCCAGGACACACTGGCGAGTGGTTCTTCGCTCGCATGGCGTTGGTGGCTGCAGGCGGGCCCTTGCTCGCCCCCTCTCCGGCCGGCGCTTCTCCGAGCGACAAAAGGGGCCCCGGTGCATGTTCCGAGAATTTACTTCCCCTGGACGTCGGAAACGTGTGCGCGTGCCTCGCGCGCGTGCCGTGGCGCGCAGCTCCGCCCGGCCCGGTGCCGCTCCTCGGTCGACAACAACCCGTCCGGCCAGGCTAGTGTGTGGCGAGGGTGTGGGCCTGGGGAGGGGGGGGGGGGGCGGGGGTCGCGCGTCGCCGTCCGCGTCTTGGCTGCGCGGCCGGGCGTGAAAGCCGGCGCCCGCCTCGGGGAGAAAGGAAAAAACTCGCCGCTGGCCCCCTGGTCGGTCCCCGCCCGCGGTCCCTGGGTGCCGGCGGCCAGGCTGCCCGGCCCCCCCCCCCTCTCTCCCCGAAAGCCGCCCAAGCCCGGGGTCAGCGGAGGGGTTGGGGAAGATTTTTGAGATGAGCAACATTATTGGAGAGGTGTTTCGGTTTCGGATGCCGGCTCGACGGCGGACTGGGCCGGGCCGGGTCGGGCCGGGTGGGCGGGCAGCGTTCCCCCGGCCGCGAGGGGGCGCCAATGGGGGGCGTTCCCGTACCAAGGGCAGTGGGGGGGGTCAATTGAGCAGCGGTCGCGCGAGCGCGCGCGCGCGACCGGACTCCGGGCCCTCGGCCGGGGCTCTCTCAGGTCGATCGAAAGGCGCATTTGCCAATTCCCGCGGAGGCGAGCGGGCCCAAGCCCCCGCAGTCGTCGGATGGTCTCCAGGCCGTGTGGGAGAGCGTCCCCTGCCCCGCCCCCCCCCCCCCTCCCCTCTGCTCCGCGGGCGCGCGCGCACCCTCCAAGACCGGCGGGCGCGCCCCCCACATGCGTCATACGTCCTCCGGCGGTGCATGCAAGGAGGCGGGCGGGCGGGCGGGCGGGCAAGGGCCGAGGCTGGGGAGCGCCCGGCGCGGGTCCCGGCAAGAGTCCCCCGGCCGCCGGGCCCGCCTGGGTCCGGTCCACGTCGCCGGGGCAGGTGAGGCGAGCCCAGGGGGGGGGGGGGGCCCGGACGGGGAACACCGGAGGGCCAGCTGCGATCGGCACGCAAGCGTGTGCGTATGTGTGTTTGTGTAGGAGCGCGGCTGTTTTCCCGTCGCGAGAGATCGGCTCGCCAGCCAAGCGGGCCCCGGCTGGAACACCTGTGCCACGGCCCCTTTTGTGCCGGTGGTCCCGGGCAGCGAGATGCAGCGGTCTCGAACGTGAGTCAGCCACTTTGTCGGCCCCGCCCACCGACCAAGGTCACTCTCCTAGTGACTGTGCCCAGGGGAAGGGGGGGGG